GCACCAAGTCATACATAACAGGGTTTCCCTCCTACCAGCTTAATCTGACATAAGCAGAAGCTCACGGTCTTGTTTCAGAAGGCAGCTTGCCTGAGTTTTTCTTGGTGTAATGCTGTCTCTCCCCTCTCCTGAACCGGGCTGCGACCAAACGACCTTTTTACTACCATGCTGGCGGTGAGGTGGTGCCGGTGTCTCCGCACGGCCACGTGCCGGGCTGCAGACAGACACCCGGGGCACTGGAAACTATAGGGTTAATTCATAAACTACAGATAACTCTTACGAGAGATCAGTTAGTTTAGAAAACAAATCAGTTTAGCGATGGCATTTACTTCTTACAGACCTAGGATATTTGTTGTACTTTCATTTTACTCATGCAAATATTAAGAATACTAGCTTTCTGCACTCAATTAAAAAAATCTAATAAATGTAGATCAAGTCATGTAATTATTATAGGGGTAATTGCTTCCCAGTTAACAAAAAGTAGTGTTGAATTTACTATAAATACAACATCTATTTGTGTGCTACTTGCTTTAACGGTTACCAAGCAGAAAAGATCCAAATTTCATTAGAATAGTAACTAAAATGAAAACAAGGTTAAACTAGAGGCTTTGAGTACACAACTCTTAACGTAAAAATCACAGAGATATTTAAAAGGAAAAGTCTCCTGATATAGGACTCTGAGGATTTAGAGTCCAGGAAGTATTTAACTGGCTGTTGTGGTGTTTTGTCCCATGTACCCTGTCTCTAGCGTAAAAGACGACCTGAGTAGTTCAATCTGAGATGCAGATTTCTAAATGAAATACTACAGAGATGTGAGAAGCCGGGCAGCGTCCAGTTTGTGTGCACATAATACATTCTGACAAAACTTAACAGTAAGTTATCACCTCTATGAGTGATTTTAGTTTTATTATTAAAACACAGGCAAACACTCTAAACTAAGGAATGAATCAGATAAAACTAAATCAAATACCCCCGGCTTCACTAGAGAGCACTGTGCATTCTGCAGCGGGCAGTTTTTGTCCATATTAGGGCAAGTGGCACAGTTATCAGACACTTTCAGACGGTCTTAATTATTCAAATATGATCACTGAGATCATTTGGTGTTAAACATGTTTTGAAATTTTATCATCACTACTTGGCATGCAGTTTTCTTCATATCTCATCGGAATTTGTGACCCAGGGAAAATAAAGTGTGCTTATTATAGCAGAGACTCAGCTACCTGACCTCCAGGCTCCCATGCCTAGTGGTTGCAGTAACCGCTCGTTAGCTTGCTCTCAGGGGAGGAGGGCATGTATCGGCATTAAGGAAAAGTTACGTTTCTTCAGCAGTTTTTCCAGAGTTGATCAGCAAACTGACGGCTCTGCTCTCAGCAGTGGGTCCCCATTTAGCTTTTCTCCTTTTCTGCAGGAACTTTCACGATCATAAGTTACTTACTAAACTTTGCTATGGGCTGTGGAACAAGTTGCACTGAAATAAATTTAACCGTACCTGTGATGCTGCGAGATAGCCCTGGCAGCGCAGCCTTTGGAGACTGTCCGTTTCTAATCGTGCTACCAGAGAAGAGGCATCTCCAGCAGGACGCAGGGGCTCAGTAGCAGCTAACAAACCTTGCATGCATTGGGAATACTGACTATCTCCAGAGCGAGCCTAGGCTTGCTATTTTGGGTGCTTTTTCCCTGACTCACTTTGGACTTGATCCAATTTTGCACCTGTCAGTGGCCATCGTTGCTCCTAGAGGCAGTCAAAAGCATCTGCAAGGTGAGCTGAGCGGCCCCTCTCTGGAGGAGCTGGGTATTTCATACAGTAAAACACTGATTATCCTAATTACTTCCGTCTACCAGTTTACTACATGCTTCCTGCTATACGCTTTAAAAGAGCGTTTTTGACTACGCGATTCAGGTTTGCTCACACAGGAATGAAGGACAGTGGATGCTTTTTGCTGTGTGCTCCTAAAACAGGGCCAAGTGCTACTCAAACTTATTCTGGCTGCCAAAGGTAACTTATACTCAAACTTATTCTGGCTGCCAAAGGATGTAACGTGTCATCCCAGCGGCCTGAACTGCTAATGCAAAGCCGTCCCCTTTTCTGGCTGTGCCCCCATACCAGCTGCAAAGTGCTACTGAAAGGTGCTTTGACAAAAGGATGCTTTTGCCATGGCTGGCTGCGATGGTGTTAGGTGTCAAGGACAGGGACGCAACAAGTAGTGCAAACTCTAACAGCATATAAACGTGGCAGTGTAACAAGTGGGTCAAACACGTGCATGCAAAATCCTGTAAGCATTTTTAGAAAACAAACAAACAAAAACCCACACAGCTGCTGATCACAGCCCTGATGACGTAGGAGCACAACTGTGGGAGAGTGCCACATCAAGGAGTTGAGAGCAGAGCACTTGGCAGAGCACCGTGCGAGCAGCATGTTAGGACATTTGCAAAGGGCCAACCAGAGCCACAGAGTAATTGCAAGATAACCTGGAGGGACTCAGGATACACAGGGCCACTAGGCAGTACAAAACCAAGGAAATGCATCACATGCTGTTGAGACAGCCTGGGGAAATGCAGCGCACCTAGAAACTGGCTTGGAAACAGGGTAGCTGTGAACATATATGGTTGCTGGAGAGCACAAGACAGATGTGACTTGGGAGCATATGGGCCATTGCTCTTGGGCTGGGGAGGCAGTTCTCCAGCTGTGTCAGCTCATCAGGGTAAATAAGGTAATAAACATGTACTAATTAATACATGAGTTGTAGCAGTAAGTCATTTTTAGTACTGCAGAAGATTAAAAAAAAAAATCATGCTTTAGATCCCTCCAAACCTCTCCCAGTGCAGCCTCCCCATCAGCCCCCACCCCAGCCTCCTAGCCTGCAGCAACTCTCCCCACGTGCTTACTGCTTGTGTGCCCCCAGCTTCACTCCTTTTCTTCCTGGGCTTCTTTATTCCCCATGTCCCGGGCAGCTGCAGTAGAGCAGCCTTCCCCTCTCACCTCCTGTCCCTGGCTGGGCAGGCAAGGGAAGAGGTGGGATGCACGGCAGCACCTTATTGCTCACAAAAAGGAGGAGCAGCTGGTTATAATTGCCAGGTAATTCCTCCTCCTCCTCCCCCTTCTCTGGGTGGTGTTGGCTCCCTGATGTGGGAATGGTGACACCTCCTAGCTGCCTGACCAACCTGCTGTCCCTCAGGGCAGGTGTTTTGAACAGGTGCCCAATCGAAGGGATGTTGCTGTTTCCCCTCTCTTTGGGCCCACAGGAGGTTTCGTACTACAACTTTCCAATGGCTACAGGCCCTGCTGGAGTCTCATTCCCTGGCAAGGAAGCTGAGTAGAAACGTTGCATTTACAGAGAATGACACCCCATTCCTGGCTGCAGTGACTGTGCCCATACCTATTGTGTGCGATACACAAATACAAAGACAGCGCAAGTTCTTCAAGGGACCATGATTTTTGAGTGCTCTCATTCATGGTGTTCACCGAATATACCAGGGCTCCCTGCAACCATGTTTCCTCTGCCTCTTCTGTGGTGCTGGCCATTTCCCTCTGTATTTTGGGAACAACTTGCAAAGCCTCTAATCTCCTCCATTACATCAAGAGAGTTTATATCTCTGTGACTGCTGTTGCACCTTCACAGTGCTGCCCCGTGTCCTCCTCATCAGCATGAGACATTACCTTTCTGGTATCTCCCTTAGCCGTTCTTCCCTGCAGGTCTCTGCTTATGTGCCCCACACTCAATGACTCCTTTCCCTCTTCTTCTTTCTTTTGTTAATAAACCTTGAAGCTGGGCCTTATGTCAGTCCTCAGTTCCCCTACTGCAGCTACACCATTTTTGTAGGACCCGCTGCTTCGTTCTCACACCTAATCTTCCAATGGGGTTTACCCCACTTCCTCCATTCTAGCTTGTGTTACGGGTTTCCACACCATCTTGTTTTATAGGTGTCTACTTTCCTTGATGATTAGACATTTCCAGTATTTCACTGTTTATCAACAGGCTCCTAAACATTCCTTGAAAGTTTTGAATTGAATCAATGTGCCCCTTGCAATTGAGCTGACATTTTCACATATACAAGGCAATGAAGAATCAGAGCTGGGTGGGTAAAATGGAAAGCTAATCCAGTTACAGGGAATGCAACTGTCTTGCCTACCATTCCCAGCTGCAGCAGTGGAGCCAGAAACCCTAACATGAGATGGTTTAGAGCTAGGATGAGTACAGCACAACATATTCTAATAATGCCAAACAAAATTCAGCAGTAATACTATTTTTGTCAGAAATGGTAGAAACCGAGAAATTAACATTTGTAAGGGCTGCAGACCATGCCAGTATAGCACTCCATATGAGCCCACAAAGCAACGTCTACTATACTTGAGTAGATGTTTCTGCCACACTAAGAAGCATTTCTGAAAATACAGTGACTGTATGGCATGTCTAGATCACAGAGGCTGCAGAAAGGTTGAGAAGTGATTTGTATGCATTGCTTTATCAGAGAGAATGAGTACATTATTATTTTTGGTCATTTTCCTTTCATTTGGAGGATACAGCTTTGCAAGGCAGGCAAAAGTGCTTGGGTTAGTGTTGAACAATTTAAGCACGAAGTAGTCCGTGAAATATTTGCATTTGCAATTCAGTGGTGTGTTCATCTACTCTGGGCATCTGCAACTGTGCAATGGTAAACTGCAATACTAGTTTGTATATAAGTAATTATAACTACATATGTCATTTATGGAGTAGTGGATGCCCTGACAGTATTTTTTTGTTTTATTTAAGAGTTCTGAGCTATTCTTGAGAAGCATTCTGGAGAATGACAAAAATTTTCAAATAAAATAAGGAGAAATTAATGAGAACCTTAATAAAGCTGTCAGGCCCCAAAGTACTTAGCTTAGAATGGTCTCGTCAGAAAACACTAAAACTCTTCCACTTTGTTTCGGCTGAGGCTGTCCAGTATTAAGAAATTACCAATGTAAACAATGAAACAAACAGTATTTTAAAAACATTAAGTAAAAAGTAACTTCACGGTAGAGTTCTAAAGCAAATTTTAATAAATTAATATATGCATGCCAGATAAAAATACAAAATTACAATTGAAATAGCAATAATAATAAAGGAACACTGCTCAGCATTGCAGATTCACTGCAACCACCATAAACATCATGGAGAATTACTTAAAATAACATTTAAAATACACATTTTGTTTCTGTTAAAAACAAATTACTATATGATGAAAAAACAGAAGAAACCCAAGAAGAAATCAGCCAAAAAAGTGGCAGAGAATGATATGAAACGTCAATGAGCTGCCAGAGGCTCCATTTCACGTAAGTCGGTGTTCTTTTTAGTATCAGAAACCAATTACATAGAACGTAAAAGCAAATTCACAACAGGTTTACACGGAGAAACATGCTGTATTACAACCACAAACTATCCAGAACAAAGATGCTGCACCAGTTCAGTTGTTTCCTTCATGGAATGATTCTCACCAGAACAGGGAGAACAGGGAGCCAATCATGCAATAGCTTTAGTTTTTTTTGTTTTATATTTTAACATGATAAACACCCAGGATTACTAGTACTGGAAAGTATGTGTTAACCTTTTTTCAACATCAGCTGAATGGCACTACAGAAACGACAAAGAGTTCCTTCATTTTTATCCTGAATACATCAAAAGCTCTAGCAAATATGGAATTCAGCTACAAGAGCCATTAAATTACTTTAAAATATTCCTTCATCCATAGAACACTGTTGCTTCCTTTTTTATTACAAAACCCCCAAAATATTCAAAATAAAATGTCTTCATTTTTTATAAGCATCTCCACCACAAGTCTCTGATAACGGATGTCATTCAATGCAGCCATCGCATCCAGTTCTGGCGCTCTCATAAGAGTTGGTCCGAAAACTATGCCCAGATTCTCTGCACTCATGAGATTTTCCTTTTCATGAAGCGTTACTCTGCAAAAAAGGACAGTTTTTCACTGACTGCAAGATTCCTTCCATGCCAAACAATGCCAGCATATGCTGAAAAAAAAAAAATCTAGGGAAGGAAGAACTAGAAACCAATTTTTGCCTTTCCCAAAAGCCTCGGAGAGGCTGCCCTTTGTAATAAGATATATACTGAGGTGTTCTGTGAAACATCCAAACGCTAGCGAGTGCGGCAGCTTACGGTGAGTCAGATGTCTCTGTCCTCCTACCACGCACACAGGCTAGGTTTACTTCCAGAAGGAGAAATATGTTGTAAGGGAAGAGACTGATGATTTGATTTGGACAAATTAGAACAATTTTGCTTTTGCACCACTCGAAGGCTACTTCTATGGGAAAAACAGACTGTACTCCCAATATCCTCTGCAAGTTTGTTACTACATTAGTAGTTTTGCAGTCCCCAGACATGTACCTGCATACACAGGATTCTGCTTAGACTCCCTTGATTACATGACTCTGCATGGTCAAACTATTTCTCGCATGCATGCTACAGCTATGCAGGGGAAGCGTATGTGAAATCACTGGCTTTACACATTACCAACTAACCATGATAAGTTGGACTGAACGTCCCTGATTCCTCTTTGATACAAATTACATCCTGTGGCATATACTAAAGCAGCTCAAAAACTGTAACTTTGGGGCAGCTTTGAAATCATCAGGATCTCATCGGAACCTCATTTTCAAGGCAATCTGAGCAGGTTATTAAACCTGTGCTCTGACGGACCTACTTCGACCCTGTCTTCTTCCACCTTCCTCAGCAGCTGCTGCCTTCCACTGCTGGGAACCTGGAACCTGCTTTCCATCTGCAGGGATCAGGGAGCAAGGGAGGCCACGTTTTGTTTCACCACAGCACTCCAACCTTTTCAAAGCTGTGGGGTGAGGCTCTGTCTTGGGGCATGTTTGCAGGCTACCTGCAGAAATATAACTCTTGGCCAAGAATTATACCCACAGCAAAAACATCCTCTGCTGGGGCTATTGCGGAAACACTGTCTGCTCCGCAAATAGCGGAACAGTCACTGTTGCCCAACCACAACAGTATCCAGGGTCACAGGATGGTATTATTTCTTATGTGGGTACGCAGCAACTTGTGCTGTCCTATGCTCCTCTGTCACCACATACATGGGCAACAGAGTATGCAGTGCTACACGGGGAGCAGATGGAGGGACTTTGCACAGACAGATAGCATGGCTGGGGTGTCATGACACTGGCTGTGCCCATTACTGCTGCCTATTGCAGTGAATAGGAAATACAAATGCGTCTCAAAGCCTAAGCTTCTGCTTTGATTATGAATTGCCTCACTCAAGGAAAAAAATTTAAATTATGCAAAAGTTTCAATACACACTATTACTTTACCAAGAGAAACAAATCCCCAGTCTCCCTAAGGATTCTCAGAAATAAAGTATCCAGGGACTGTAACTGCTAGAGTTAGATTATTTCTCTTTGCACCACTGTAATCTTGTGTTGCATAAAAAACAACCTTTGACATTAAAAAAAATTGTCGAGATTCTTCTTTTTTCCTTCTGCCTTCATTTTTATTTTTAAAGCAAGTTGAACTGCTGCTTTTTTAATTTATAACTATTCCAGATAAGGGAGCAGTGTCTGATTACCCAAAGTCAGCAGCAAGACAATAGCTCATCCTGCACTAGAGACCTTTCTAGCAAGCATATTAAAATCACGTTTAAAAATGAGTGAATTATGCCACTCTCATCATTCACCTATACCAGAAATAAGATGCATAAAAGGAACTTGCTAATTAAGTCACCCATGGTAACTCCTGAACAACAGTAAAAACCGAAAGACCAAAACCCTAACGTCCACTGACACTTCACAAACAGTAAGGTTTCTTCACTGTTTATTTTTTTCTCCTTTAAGTACTTTGTCACCAAGTCTCTCATCCCTGCATCTGTTCTAAAACCATCAACTAGAAACATCACTGAAATAAATGAACAAATCAGACAGAAACTCTGTGGCTGAATTTTGCCACAGCAAATCAACCCAATTTTGCCCAGCAGAATCAACATATTTCTACTGTAGAACTACAAAAGGGAAAAAAAAGAAAGAGAGAGCTTAAAATAAAGCCTTTTTTCTAAAGAAAAGTAGTGATTCTCATCTATTGACAATAGGCTTATATCACTTAAGAAACTAAAACGGATACACTAGCAAGTCACATTAATTTTTCCCCCTACTTTCCTAAAGTAAATAGAACTTGGGTAGTTGTGCTCAGTACTCATCTGTCAGTCTACCTCTAATAACTTTTTTAGCCTACTGACCAATTTCAGTCATATCCGAGGGAGAAGGAGAAGCCTCAGACAGATGTTATGTTCCTCTGGTTTTGAGGAAGTGGCAGGTGGAACAAGGGGATCCAAGTTAATGCAGAATGGCTGGCAGACTATACGGCAGGTGTGACTGAATGGCCACACACTGTGGCTAACCAGCATCAGCTGAAGTCTAGGCATCTTTTTTAGGGTGTCAGAGATGATCAGGGTTGAGGAAGCTTAGAAGGAAAAGGCATACAGCAATTGCCTATAGCAATTAAGTTTTATTAGTTCCTTGGTCAGGTAATAATTTGCTGCTCCTGGAAGTACTAAAGGCAATTCCTATTTACTGTAAATATTTTATAGTGCAAATTTGTTAGGCAGATAACTTTTGCTTCAGAATTGTGGGTTTTAGCTTATATTCTTCAAGTAATTTGTGAGTGCTCTAAGTGGGAGGAAAAAACATGTCTATGCATCCATTATAATGCATCTATTATAGTGCAGTCTAACATTCGCCTTTGTAGTCTCCAGAAGCAACTCAGAATTTGCTGTGCAGAATTTTGTGGGTCTTGCCTAGACTTTTCTGGAGGTCCTAACGTGGATTTTGTTAAAAATAAGTTCAGCTCAGTTCTTTCCAGATAGTCCACCTACCTCTTCAGATGTGCCATGAGATACCTTAAAGTTTCACAGTGTGCAGGTGGCAGTAGTTTCAGTGCCTCATGGAGAATTTCCAGCTGTTCATCCGGATCGGTGGTTTCTGAAACACAGACATTTAATTGGTGCCACATACATAGCCAGAGCTCAGAAAGAGAAAGCCAAGAACGGTGGCCCATAGAGGAGATGGAGACCTCCTAGATCAACTGGACTATTTATTTCCAGAACCTATCCAAACCTCATTTTGGAAAATTTACCCACCTAAACAGGTGCCCAGAGCAGTCAGGAACGGCACGATGGGTTTTTGGACAGAGAAAACTCCCCACTACAAAGCACACTCTAACAAAAGGTTCCCTACAGCCTACTTAAGCAAAAAAAAAAAAAAAAACACAAACACACCCCTGGTAGCCATTGCTGGCAGTATTGCACATATAATCTACAGGTGCAATCCTGGAACAGCAGAAAATACTGGGAATTTTGCCACTAACTTCTTTGGCTGTGTCTGTATTACTTGGAAAGAACCTTCTCCAGAGCAGCAGGAAGCCTAGCATGCAACCCATCTTTTGTACCCATGGCTACCTCACACCTTTCCAGGTGTGGCTGATGTGTGCTAAATGGCAGGGCATGGTTCAGGCTGATGTGATGTTTGGGAGAGAAGTGCCAGCTGGGTGTACAGTCATGCTTGGCGGCTGACTGTCTACAAGGCTAGTCTTGAGGGTGGCCTTATGATGAGTGCTTCTCAGCATGTAAAGATACAGGCAATGGGACACTGAGAATGGTTATCTCTAGAAACAAATCACTTTTTATCTTATTTTTAAACGCTTGCATAAATGACCTTGTTTCTGGCCGCACAAAAATAAGAGACTTTAAATATCACTGTCAAGTACTAGGGATTAATGCAACACATGCAAAGCAGTATGTTCCACAACATGTGACAAAAAGGAAGCGTTCTTGATGATAAAGCAGAAAAAAAATGTGACTGTGATCATAGAGTGCCACAGAGTTATGTCAGAATGTGCACTGCATATTTAGTCCTGCACTACTCAGTAAATAGGGCATGCAGGGCAAAAGCTGATGGAACAGCTATTAAATCCATAGGCACGTCATGCACAAAAAGGAAAGGAAAAGGACCAGGATGAAGAACAGGAGGAAAATGCTTTATACATACTTGCAGACTCTATAAACTTTGGGTAGGCGTCATATGTGATAAGTGGAATTGGCAAATCCCTGAAGTACAGTTTAAGTGCACCAGTGATAATATTGATATCTTCATACATATTCACAGAAATATCTGCTTTTTCCCCATCTGTGTGGAGAAGATACTGACATTAAAGCCTTGGAAACATAAACAGATGTAAAATAGCATTCAAACGGAAGACTGTAAGTTGCTTAGGCATTAAAATGGGCACAACTACAGATTTGGGCTTTTATATGCAAAACACATAACGACATTTGGCTGTGGAGTTCATTGTTTCAGGATGAAGAAAGACCTCAAGCCTTTTACACAGAAACCTACCCTTCCTTCATTTCAAATGATTACAAAAAATGCTGTGGAAAAAACCTGCCTGCCTGTTCTAACAGTATCTATGTTGGAGAAATGTGTGGAAGTTCAGCTATTTCTGTACACATCATGTTGCCAAACAACACATTTGTCAGCAGTGAATGAGAAATTAGGGGAGTCTGGGAAAAAAAGAAAAAGGAAAGGAAACCAGCTTAGTACATAGCCTCCTCATTTTATAGGAAAAACATGTGTTCACCATTTAGCCTACCCACTCCTGACCGCAGTGGACACAGCTCCAGAGCTTGGCTTCTGCAGCACCTCCCGCCCTGCTCGTACTGCAGAGGGGCAGATGTTCTGTGAAGAGGTCCTGTCCTCCACAGCAACGGAAAAGGGCTAGTTTCCAGCATAGATTTTGGCCTTAATTTCTACTGGGATGGGGGAACTGCAGCTGGAAAGCCTTTGCTTTTCCCACTGCCTTTTGTCAGGGAGGAGATGTTTGCTCTCATTGACTTTTTTTTTTTTTAAACTGTAAATATTCACAGTAACTACAAATAATTCAAACTTTGTTTGCACTCTTGCATTTATCTTAACTGTTTTGGAGCTTTTATCTAGAAAGCCGAGATTTAAACTGCACAACTCTTTTCAGGCACTTAACCCATTGCCCTATCCTTCCCTCACCTCTGAGCGTAGTTTTACTTGTAAAAGTAGGGCAATAATTGAGAAAGCTTTGTTCTTTCTTATCTATAACATCATTATTGAAATACGGATCCTGACGGAAGGAAAGCAGATTTTGACAATACGGGCCACAGTGGGGTTCACGTACTGCTCTGATGTGGCGCTCTCCTTACCCCCTTCCAGACCACCAAGCCAGCTCCTTCAGAAGGGTGATGCAGCGGAGCACGAGGCAGATGGGAGCTGTGCGGAAAAACGGGGTATACAGACTACACCAACATACAGTTAGAGCACATAGTAAAGAACCTACCTCTGTCAAATGCCATTTTGACATCTTCAATAAGATCACTGAATCCTGAGACTCTGTATAGTCCTTCAGAATTAAGACCTGCAATGAACATTTTAACAAGATTAAAATAAGTATCAATGTTACATTTTCCTTCAAACCATTCTTTCTTTACCATGTTCTTCTTTTAAAGGAGAAAAAGCAGACTGGTTTTAAAAGTCTTATCAGGCTTTACTTTCAGAGTGAAATCTTCTCCTGGCCCTTTTAACCCTGACCCCTGCATTAGCTGCCTTGTTATATCAGCACTAAATTATGTTCATGCAAACAATTGCAGAGCTGAAGAAACATATGAAACCCATTACAACCTATTTAAAAATAGATAACTGAGGTTAGCATACTCCACGTTCAGTCATTATTTCAGAATGAAAATAAATATTCTAATCCTAGAAAAGAATACTCAGTGTGGGCTAGGGGAACTACCAGGAGGAAACATCACTAGTTAACATGCATTTCACTTAGTTTTTTAAAATAAAAATACTATTGGCAAGATAGCTGCTGGTATGGAACTACAAGGCAATAATTGTCCAAAATGCTTTCTTGGGTACTGGGCATTATAAAACATACATGACATATGTCCCTGCTTGCTCTGTGCTTTAGTTAAGATCACATTAAGCAACTTCTAACAGCGTTTGTAAAAATTATAAAAGGGTATATGAACCATAAAATAATACAAAGTATGATATTAGCTCTGCAGGGTAATTGGCAGTCAGAAAATGGCTTGTGCAAATCTGTTTTGCGCCATCATATGCTCAGCAGAAACCCAGATGACCCAGATCAATCTAAATGGATTATCAGTAAAGTAATCAAAGGCCATTAACTACGCCTTACCTCTAGATTCAATTTCTCTAATGCACATGTCTACTACCATTGGTCTCTTAGTGAAGTGTGCTTTTACTAGCGTCGTAAGGTCACAGCTGTACACTTTTTTGACGTGCTTCAGGTCTGGCTTGCAGTCATTTGGGACCATCTTGGAACATTGCTTGTGCACATTTAAACCACAATCTGAGAGAAAAATGAAAAGATGATCGGGCTACTGTCTTGTGAAAATGTGTAATGAAGTCAGTATGTGCGGCTCCAGCAGGATCTGATCTGATCTTGCAACTGCTACTCCTGTACAGACCTTGCAGTCATCAAATGCATGAGGCTGGAGCAGACCTGAAGTAGCATGTAGTAGTTGTCCATAGATTTTCTATCCAAAACATTTCTTTTAGCCCTAGGAGATTTCACGTAAAGTGATAAGCTCTCCATAGGGTTTTTTGAATCAAGACGTAATGCTCAGTGATGCTCCCCTCTAGTATTTTATGTGTCTCTGTCATGATCTGAAGTTTCTTTCCAAGTTGTTACAGATATCCTAGCATTTACACTTTTAATGCAGTGCTAAACTGCGGCATTTAGACACATTCTTGAGTAAGCTTGGGGGAGATGAAGGTACAACCCCTTTGCACTGTACATTGGCAACACAATGCTGAAATCTTAAGCAGTTCAGGAAACTCTACTGTCTTGCCAGGTGAGGTGGTCCATGTTTAACGTTGTTAGTGACATGGCCCATTCTCCAGCTTGGAGGAGAGCTGCTAAACAGATGCAGAGATCGCTGAACTGGCTGTTTTTTGCTACTGAGCAGTTGACAAAGGAATTTATTACGTCACAGTAGTAGCGGTTCTGAGGCAGTTTCATAGGGTTTTTGAAACAAAGTGTTGGCAGTCACTAAACCAATTCTATTTACTTTAAAAATGACTTACAGAATATTTGTTGCTCTAAACTTAAACAAACAAATCTGCAGCTTTATTGTGAATATACTAAGAATGAGATTTAGTTTAAGTAAAATTTAATTGAAATCAGATTACAGAAAAATGTTTGTTCTGTCCACAACCATGCAAAACATAATAATCAGGGTTTTGGAAAAAAACCTAGGAAAACAACACCAATTATACAGTAAATATGGGTAGAACATTAGAGTCCCTTTCAAGCTAAGCAAACATTGCAATCTATGACACCAGTCACTAGGTCTTGTGCAACGAGCCAGCCTTCTGCATTGCTTGGAGCCCAACGCAGTTCCAAATGACTTGATTTGCACTGAAATTGCTCGTATTTCGCAGTGGAGACTCCCAAGTGTTTCCAAGGAAATAGCAACCAGCAAGAAGTGTGGCCCTGTGCAGACACAGCTCTTGCCATGATCTATCAGGCATATTGCATTCACTGAGGTTCCAGTTCTGCAAGCATTTCTCTACACAGCTTCATTGTCATAAGTAATCCTGTGAATTTCAACAATAACAGAATCAAGGAATGGAGGAGCTTGGACGATCAATGCCTTGACGAAAATCTGCACTTTCTTCTCCCACTGTCGTATTGAATATCTCTCTGTATATATTCCTTTTCTTTTTAAGCTGCTATTAAGCAAGTATCAGCCATTTGATTCCTGTTGATTTTGGTGATACTTGCATTTTCACTAATGCCCTGTATATTATTTGACTTTGGTCTTTATGAAATAGTAAAACTATTTCACAGCCAAGATTCCCGCTAGTCGCCACAGCCTGCTGCTAAAAGCACTTGTTTACTTAACAGGCCTGTAAAGCAACCAGCTTTGTCACTTAGACTTCTCTGTAAAACACTCAATCTCATGGCAGCAATTAGAGTTCGGCATGTCACCTTCAATCAGTCAAAACTAACACAAATCCTGCTCCAGATGAAAAGGCTAATTAAAATTCTCTTTAGCTATTTCTGTGCAGGAACGACTCCGTTCCTGGAGAAGAGTGATTAACGCGCAAGACTGGGAGCTGCAAATTCTGAATTTAACACCTGTTTGTGATTTTTGTTTTGCAGACAGAACCCTGGCCAAGTCACGCAATCTGAAACCCTTCCCCCTTCAAACGAGGCAGTGGTGGGGGTGCTGCTTAGGCCGCTCTGCTCCACCTCCGTGCCCCAGCTCTGGTGCTGGCCGTGCTCCACGGTCCCTTCCAGGCTTGGCCACGGAAGCCACATCTCGCAACTGCTTGCAGAGAAGTTCAGTTTGGCCACTTAGGCTCTTTAATACTTGTTCTGTTTCTCCATTTGTGACATGGAGGAAATAACAACAGCAAACACATGTGCTTTCCCCTGGCTGTTCAGTTAAATCCCACTTTTACTCAAATGCTCTAAAACCCTTACTTGGAAGGTGCATGATTAGAGTTAATAAAGCCAAGCCTTTCAAATGCAGTCACTACCTTACTTACGGTTCTGGTGTGTGGAATGAAGAAACTCTGAGCATAGCAATCAGTGAAGTCAACAGGAGCTTTAAATATGACCAGTATTATATTTTGTCTACCAATATTATATTTTATCTGAACCCTGAAAAATCAGGTCTCTCAGTGCTTTTAAAGTGAGAACTCGAATTGATTGGAAACATTTGACCTGAATCATTAGTTCATCAGTTGTAAAACGGGAAGGGGAGTATGGTCTTCCCTCCTCTGGGTGTTGTAGAAACAAATTCATTACAAAGGAGAAATTTCTCATCCTTCAGAGTAAAGTTGGAATATTGTGACATTAGTAAGACCCATGGTCACACATTTAGCAAGGAGAAAACAAAATACTGAATAGCTGCTATTAAGCAAGTACCATCCAGGTACTTGGGAGGCAAATGAAGAAATTTGTGAAAGTAAATATCATTATTATAGGTAGAATTTCTATAATTGCTGCAAGAAGCACCTATTCCAACATGTATGAAAAGTTTTAAATATTAAAACATTATACAGGAATATTCTCATCTGTATGTCAGAAATGATATGCAGAAGAATGCAATGGCTGGGTCTCACTTACAAGAACTCACCAGCAATTTTGTGAGTGCAAATTAGTTACTTCACGCAGATAGCAACACACAGATAGCTGAGAGTTATGTTTATGGGAATCCAAGAATAATTAAGATTAAACTACATTAAAAGAGGAAAAATATGCTTCCAAGTATCTTATACTTGACTTAAAACTATCACTGGATTCACTGAGATCATCCTAATGGTATTTGTATACAAGAAAGGTTTATTTCATTAAAGTATTTCCCTTACAGAGACATTTTCAAACTGAAAACCTTCTTTCTGAAAACAGTTATGTTACTGCTAATCCCAAAAATTCAAAGGGGTTTTGGATGTGACCCCATTAATACCAGAATAATAATTACTAAAGGAAAAGTCGACTTTCCTCCTCTTTTGTTCTTCCTTTACACTTGATTGAATTTTACACATCAACCTCCTCCCTATGGGGTTACAAACACTCCTGAGAAATATTTAATACCTATAAATATTTCAGACACTCAATCCTTACAAAATGCAAGAACACTATTTTCAATAATAGCATTGGGCTGTGCAGCATCGTTACAATAATCAAAGCTCTTTTTTACCTCTTACATAAATGTAGAAGACCACCCTACTTCCTTTAGCAATTCCAAATCAATAAATAATTCTTGAAGATTTCAGTGAATTTGTAACAAGAAGTTTTTATTTGTTTCAATAAAGAAGCTGAAACTCACCAGCGCTGTGCTTTTTAACAGGTGGATCCTTCTCCTGAGCTGACAATACTTTGCCAAAGGTAGAATAGTCACGTTTCACTCACTAGTCTCTGATTTAAGTTGATAACCACAGTGACACACTCTGATAGAAGGGGGAGCATCTGCCTTGCAGGAGGTCAACCCTCTTTTCCCGTTCAATATTGTGGAGTCCAACAGAACGTGCCAACCTTCTACTGTAACTGTACTCAGCTTACTTGTCTGTACTACACAACAGGAATTATACTGCAAATTGCATATTTTTAAATGAAAATGCCTTCTGCTCTCATTGCAGATGTTTCACGACATCTTAGAAACCCACTATTTTAGAATCAACTAAGAAGGAACAAGAACGCTTAGTCCTGAATCTCTCTGAATGCTTCCACGTGGACAGGCCTTAAAACTGCTTGCCTTACTCACACACGAGCGTCATTATTTGGCTCAGTTCCTAGAGTAAGACCAACAGGATTCATGTTATTTCAAATTTAGAGTCTACGTATTTTCAGGTACATCAAAATAAATCCGCAATAGCTGAGTTGACTTCAGCAGCTCTACTCCTGATCTACTCTCTAAAATAACCAAGGGTCTTATCCATTTCATAAGGAAGTTCATCAGAGCTTATCCACTGACTCTTTATAGGATTGGAGAGGAGCTAAACCAAAATCTCCCTGAAGTGTCATACCTGCTGATAAATCCCATAGTGATACAGAACTGATTTAAAAGATGCAGTCATGGCCCATGGCAGGTCAATAGGAAAACTTCTGCTGACGTTGGTTAATCAGAATTTCACTCTACACAGAGATGAATTCACAGGACTAGACTTGCATACTACTATTTTTTATAGTACCAACAAACTGTGGCTTTTACCAAAAAATACAGCCAGACCTACAGCATGTAGGAAGTTTGGAAATTTAGGAAAAGAGGAGTAATTTTGGATGACAGTTTTAAAAGTGTCATATAAGCTACCCTGGCTTTAATAGCATATTGATCTAGGAGTTCAGGTGGGCTGTGACATTACTTCTATGAGAGATAATAAATTTAAAACCAGCCTGACAATCCTTTCTTATGATACCTGGAAAAAGGTTTTGTAATGTCTTAGAAACAGCTAATATTGATGTTAGTCCACTGAGCCGAAAGAACACATAACGTGTTCATATTAATGCATGAGCAGAGCCAAAAGATGTATGTACATTAATAGCACCCCATAAGCACACATTATAAATATTTGCAGAGACTAAAATATACTTACTTAGTTGTCACTTTTTGTTATACTGCCAATTTGATTTAAGTCAGTTTTAGATTTCCCTTGGTTTATGATTTACTGGTTAATGTGGCCACTGATCACGCTCCATAGGAATGACATCATATGCTATAAACATCACTCTAATTATAATTTTTGCATTATGCTAAAGGAAATTTATGCATTTTGTCACTCTGAAGAGCAGCTTTACGAGCTAAAAGGTATATTTAAATTATCTGCAAAAAGTTCCAA